CAATAAAATTCATGTCCAAGAATTAATAGGCCTAATAGATAAGTGGATGTGTCTAAAAGTCCAAATAACATTCAAAATAATAATAATAATAATAATAAAAATCGGCCCAATTAAAAATTCTGGAACATGATCAATATCTAATTGAGAAAATTACCTAGAAACCTACCTTTAAAGATTAATTTTCAAAAAACAAGGGAATTAAATTTTATTTCACAAATCAGGTGGTAATTAAGCTTTGATAATTATAATTAAGAAAAATTTAATTGTTTATAATCTACATATTCACCTTACCCAAACCCCACCCCGACACACCTACCCACGCACCATTTATTTTGAAATCCCTAAAAAATTTTCTCTCACTACTCTCTCTCTCTCTCTCTCTCTCTCTCTCTTCTCTTCTATTCTCTTCCAAGCGTAGAATTGCCGCGTGCAGAAGCTGATCGGTGACAACCGTGATGATTTTAGCGTCACTTCAACGGTGCTGTGAGGCCGCTAACGGCAAATTCGACGACTCGCACTGCGCGATAAGGTGCTAATGATTTGTGTTGACGGAAAGTGGTGGCGGTGTCAAGAGAAAGTTGGCTTTGGAGTGGGCTTTTTCCGTCCAGCCAGAATGCAGAGCTGGAGGAGCTAAAAGCTCGGGACAAGGCAAGGCACACTCGAACATTGCTGAATTTTGATGATAACATTGTGAATTTCCCGATCATTAGTACCTCAAATATGTGTTTAGAACTGTGATTTGAAGTCAGAAAATCTGCCATTGAATAAGAATGGAATTCTAAAGGTGTTAGATTCTATGGGGTGATTTTGTTGTTAATGCTAGTGTAGACTGTGATGGTTCTATTACTAGTGGTGCATTTGGTCGTTTAATTTTTTATGTTGTTGGGGGTTGTGGTTGTGGATGTTTTAGTGTTGGTGATTTTCTGATTTGTGGTGATTATGTTGTTGGTGATGTGTTAAGGTGGTGTATATTTGGTAACGTGGTGGTGGTGTACGCTATGATTGTTCTGTGGTTGGCTATGATGGTTCTGTGACTGATTGTGACTCGAGATTGATCTAGTCACAGACAGTCACACTGAATACAATTTTGGTCACAATTAGTCACACCAAAAATAAAGTTGGTCACAGTTAATCACAGGTTTGCGATGTGTGTAGATTTGTTTGTGGTGACCCTATGCGATCAAGTATGTATTTGTTGTGACTGTTTGTGACCAATTTGTGTTAATTGTGATCGGTTGTGACTTGAGATTGACCTGGTCACAGACAGTCACACTGAATACAAATTTAGTCACAGTTAGTCACACAGAAAACAAAGTTGGTCACAGGCGTCGGACTGTTCATTGGAACAATTTCGGGGAGGTATCGCTGAACAACCATCGGAGGGAGCATCGGAGGGAGCGTCGGAACAGTCATCGTGATGGTCGCCGAAGCGATTTCTTGGTGTAGTGGGGTGATAGGATGGCATGAGAGAGGTGGCACTGGTGGAAATAATTAATGTATATTATATTATATTTTAATATTTAATAAAATTATTTACCACCTGATTTTTGAAATATTTTAATGAGTTTGTTATTTATGAAATGTGATCTTTAAAACTAGGAGTTATATTAAGATCCCTATCTAATTTTATATGTTTTCAATTAGCCCAATGGATAAATTAAAACCAATGATTTTCAAATGGCACGATAATTAATGGCCCACTAAAGAGCATCATCGTCAATTGGCTCCTACACATAAAATTGGTCTCTGTACGTTAATCAAAACCAGAGAACGTCTTCAATCTCTCGATTCTGAACCTCCTCAAATTAAATCTTCTCTCCATCAAAACTCAAGTTTAAAATCACATAGAGGCTATAAAATCAATTTTATGGACATATTAGAATTTATTTTTCAGAAAATAAATTGGTCAGAGAATATAGCTTTTTACAGATTAACGGTGAAACACCAAGGTAAAGGTAATATGAAGCTCTGATATCAAATGTAAGACTCAAACTCGATCCTAAATAAGTATGCTGAAACAAATTGGATCGAGAAATCAACAATCTTGCGGAACAAAAATCGTACCTCCAACCATTGATGTATCTCAGAAAGCTTCTTGCTCCAGGTAATGGTTCTTCCAAACTCTCAGCACACTTTATATGATGGTGTAAACTGTATTTCGGGTGTGTGGAGCTTGGGGATCAAAATGGGGATTTATAGCCGAGTTTCCATCAAACTTTTTATGGCTAGACCTCTAATGTCGCCAGAAAATCAAGACAAGAAACGGAATGGGGCGAGATTGGTTCAACTTGGACCATCAATCTTGGAGTTTCCAAATTTATTACCAGAGGATTTGGGATTCTCTTAATTGGAAATTCCAACGGGATCTGCTTGTTAGAAGAGCTAACAATGAAACCAGATGAGCCAAAATTCAATGACAAAGAATCAGGTTGAACAGAATTGAAATGACAAAGAATCGGGTTGAACAGAATTGAAATATTTGACGAAAGACCCATCTTTCAATGCCGAAACTGGCGCAGAATCAGTGTTTAAATTCGAAAAAGCTTCAGAGCCCTTTGCCACTGCTTTATCAAACACTGCCAGCGTCCTTGATTTCCTACTCTCTTTTCCAAGAATTATAAAAAATAAAAATAAAAAAATCACTGATTTTCAGTCTTCTAATTTGCAACTCACAGAACTTTCAAGAATATAAATGCAGTTTGTGTATATAAAATTGCAGAAAGATATGTTAGATGGGTTGCTAGCAGTTTCGAGAGTGTATAAATATTGAATAATGCATATGTAAGAATATAACACGTGTGGTCTAGATGAATTGCTAATTTGCAGGGCCGTCAAAATTCCATCTTAATAGTATTACCGGTTTAGGGGTCGAGTAGTTATTTGTAAACCGGTTTTTATTTTTCCAATTAATTCTTCCTTTAGCATTATATAGTTTCATATTTTCGTTAGTTCTATGAATATGTTGAGGTTTTTTATTTTTGTTAAATCTTAAACATGTCTTGAATACATCATATTAATGGTGGGTTATTTCTAGCGAACCGTATGCTGCAAAATAACTATACAATCAACTTGTTTGACAATTAATTGATCCAATTTTTGAAGAGTTATGAAAAAGTGAAAAAAAATAAATAAATTTAAAGTGTCAGTTTTCGGAGAATTTTATGTCTATTTTGTGTTGTTTAGAGTTGATAGGAATAATTTTATTTGCAGTCGCTCACTACAACAGCCGCCCTATGTGACATATATGTGATGGTTAATGATTTGCATATATGACACGTAAGGCGACTTCAATAGTGAGCAACTGTAGATATCATTAGAGTTATTAGTTATCTAGAAGTTTAATGATTATCTGAATCTTATTTACTTCTCTAAATACATGTTGTAAGTCTTATGATAACTAGTTGAATTTAAATTTATTAAGAGTTTTGGGAAGTTTTTCATTATTCTCTCTTTCTTGATATTTGATATTTCAAATCATCAAACTTAAGTTTTGTGAGACTTCATTCTTTCTTATAAGTTTTTGCAACGTCACTAATATTACTATCAAAGACCTTGATGATTAGGTCAACATGTATTGAAAATATGTATATTTTGAAGTGCTCTCATTGAAACTAAAGATTGATGTCATGTTTAGCATGTTGAAGTTGAATTATAATCCTTTGACTATGTTCACTATTACGATGATGATATTTTAATTTCTCAACTTCAATTAGTAAATAGCAAGATGCCATTTTATATGGTGGTTTACTATTTGTTAACAAGAGTTGATGTATTGAGGTGCCAACATTTAAGTGGTAGGACATTTAAAAGAATAGTTAAATAGGGTCGTAGATATAACAGATATCTGCATGTGGATAAATTGATTATGGGTGCAACATTATTAAAGATCTATTGACCTCAAAAATCTTCATAACCTTGATACAAATAGATCCCTGCCATTTTTTTTTTTTTTTTGAACGATGACCTTAAAACCTAACAGTTTATGTCTGTGTGTACATGGAACTATAGGTGGATAGGGAGAGTCATGTATATATAGTGAGACATTAGGTTATCTTACTCAAGATGAGTCACTAATAAATATGCTCATCGATCCATTATAAAGTACTAACCAAGCCAAGCTTACGACAATATTGTCAAAATAATATCCATCAAAATTCGACTGACTTCATCAATGTCTGGTCAAAGTCCAATAAAAAAATGTGAGACTCATCTTATCATACATACGCCTAGTAAAATATAAGTGTAACAAGATATTTTTTACTATTGATTGGTGGATGGTTCACTTCTCATGTTTCATAAAACATAATTATGCAATTCCAATATCACTTCCTCTTCTTTCAAGTCAATATCATAAATTTCTTCACACAAAATATGCCTAAAATCAAGAAAGAAAGGAATTCAAAATAATAATTTTAGGTCAGAAGGACATGACAGCTTGTCTAGCTCTCTATTCTAAATCTCAAAATCAGTATGATTTTAATCAGAATCGAATCTAATTGAATAGAATCAACTAGTTTGATCGTGTGTGCGAATAAACATGTTATAAGTATGATATTTTTTTTATGAACATAAACATGTCATAGCATGAAAATATTACAGGTATTCAATACAGAAAGGAAAATATCAGTCCCACTAAAATGGACACAAGAATCTTTCACAAGTTGCTGTCAGTGCAAAAGTTTATATGATTCCCTGCTGCATATTTAATTCACAAGGACAAACTATCTATTAGTTTGTGAATAAAAATCATGGATATTTATCACAGACTTTTCCCCACTTCTGTCAATATGAATACTACTCCACCAAAAAATCTAACCAACGTGCAGCAAGTTGCACCAAAAAAACCAATAAATGACTGACAATTTAATCAACACAAAAAGAAAAAGAAATAAGCATATAATAGCAAGCGGAAAATGGAACAATAAAGTAGAGAAATTAGAAAGGTTAATGGTACGTTTTATAAGTTGGATTGAACCAAACTTCATAGTAATAAAAAGACAAACACAAAAGCCATCAATTATGAATCTAAATTGTACTAGACTAAATTACAAAGTATGTTGTGGCGATGAAATGAACGACTACTGATTAAAAACTACCAAAGATTGACACTGTTAAAACGCGCTTTAGACCTCTAGTTCTATCACAATCTGATAAATCGGCCAAGAAACTACCTGTTCGCCTCAAATTAGGACCAAATAACTGAGACCAAAAGTTGATCAATAAAGAATAAAACATCCAAGATGAAATGGAATGTTTACTGATCTAACCCTTAATTCAGCAACTCTTCCCAGAATCCCGCGTCAAGTTCCTTGTCTGAACTCCCAATTTGCTCGAATTTGTCCTGGTCTTCCTCTTGTTCTCGTCCCACCTTACCAAATCCCTGCATTTCTAAAGCCAGTGCCTCGAGTTCAGACACTTGGGAGCGATAAGTTATGTCAAATTTTAAAGGTTCGGTATTAAAAAGGTTCAGCCCTTCATTAGTTCGGCTTGGCTCCTCACTAGGCCTTGGATCATCCAGTGGTCTCCTCTTGGAATTCGCCTCTTCTAGTTCTTTTCTCTTCTCCTTTTGCAAGAGTAATTTCTGAATGAATTCTGGATTCTGCGTTGCTCTAGCTAAGAAATTCATCATTTTTTTCTGTTTCTTCTCTGCCTCCTGTAACTTCAATTCCATTTGATTAAGGTAGGATATAGTACTCTGTTGTTGTTGCCTTAGCTTCACAATTTCCGTTATTAGTACTTGTTTATCACGCCTCAACTGATTAATTTCCGCATCCAATCCAAACCTTCCCACTTCGACACGTGGACTAATAGCTTGCTCAAGGGGAAGAGGCTGAGACGTGGCCTTTCTCCTCCGTATGTTCTTCAAAAGATGCTTTTGTCCCCGAATAAATCCTCCATTTGCGAACTCCCAATTGTCGGGATCAATCTTTCTAAAGCCCTGCAATAGTCCAATCCGATTCCATTCCCAAGTCAAATTTGAAAAAGTTAAAACTACAGGTAAAAACTGATGTTCGTGGGAATTTTATCAAATTCATACTCAATGGCTTCATCATCATGAAGAATGGTCTAATCAGTAAATCTGCACGGATCCACATAGAACCTTTGGAAAAGAATGACAAAGTATGTGAAGAAGCGCAATAGATACAAAGCCAAGTTATAACAGAAGCAAGTATATCAAGGATTTAGGCAGAGTAAAATGGAACTATTCACAACAAGAATTAAATACGCGTTTTAAGGCTAATTCAGAGAGAAAGATATCACTCTTCCATAGCAACACGTGTAGAAAAATGGAAAAGACTAAAAGATAGTACTTACATATGTGTTGAGCTGCCTAATAAAGCTGGAGAAATTGTTGTGTTTGAAGTATCTTGGAAGAACACCGGTGGAGAAGGAATGAGGATCCCACACAACAAAACTGCAACCTCCTCTGCTCCAAGAAACAATGTGATCAATGGCCAAATTATCCACCATCTCAAAGGTCTTGGTCAAAAATGGTGGAGGCCCCGTTTCGTGCAGCCCTTCCATGGGTCGAGGTGGTGGTGGTAGTGGCGCTGTCTCATGCTGCTTCTCAATTGGTTGCCATGAACTTGATGAAGAGGGTCCTCCTAAATACTCTTCTTTAACTGGAAACATTGGATTCATGATCAAGATTAATGAAGAACTCTAAATTCTTGATGGGATTTAGTTCTTTTCTCTTTTTATAGGGTATTTTGTGATAAATTCAATCCTACAAAAAAAATCTAGCAGCAGCGATCACAAAGTCAGGAAGTTTTTGTTGTGCTCTCTCTTTTGGAAAGGCCAGAAATGGTGATAAGAAGCTGAGTTGCCTGAAAAATTGGTCCAAAAAAGATGAACAACGCTATTTATAGAGCAAATTAGTGGTAGTTACTTCAGTTAAAAATACAGTCGACGAGATTTTAATACCAAGTCTATTTGGAAAGTTCTGATATTCTAGTGGTGCTTTAAGGGGATGGGGTGAGGGTATGAGAGTGACTGACCACAAAAATTTTAAAGCGGAAACTTTTGGTTTTAACTTTACCATTGGATGAAGAGATATGAGTGGTGGATTGGGACCCTACTCATGATTTGGCAACTTCAGTTATAGCAACCATTGATTCTACTGGAATCACAAAAATTATTGAGACCCACTTTTTGCCTGATGGTGGGGAAGTAAAAACACTGTACAAAAATTATTTAAAATAAAGATTATTTGATACTTAGGAAAGGAACATTTTTTTTCTTCATAATTCAGTTACATTTTTATTTTAAACTCAAAAATTAAAAATAGGAAATGATTATTTCATTTGATGATTGTGGATAAAATATAGAATACTAGCAAACAATGCTATTTGGGATCATTAAACTTTAATATATATCAATGAGGTCACTAACATTTAATTTAGTTACAAATTTCTCTACTTCATCATCAGCCCATTTTCAAATTGGTGAAAATTGATTAATTGACCGCCACGCAACAATAGACCTTCAACATAATCGTTGCATGACATACCAATTTAATGTTAATCCGCGTCATAAAAGTGCTAATATGAAAAAATGCAGGTGTTTAGTCTTTTAATCTAAAGGCACTGTTAGAGTCCTATGATTGTCAACTAAGTAATTTTCATCAATTTAAATGATAATAGATGACTTACTGTGACAGAGTAATTAAACATGATACTAAATTTTAGTTCAATTGCTTAAACCAAACTAGATTGAAATTTAGTTACTCAATCGAAATTTCTCTGAAAGTTGAGTGACTGCAGATGAAATTTAACAGCACCTCATTTAGGAGATGTATACAAGAGCAAACTGTCACAATTAGAAGTATTTGTCTATTCTTTCTGCATTTTGGTAGAGGATACTACAAGAAATGGAAGCATGACAGTTTTTCAACAAAAATAATTATATTAAGAAAATTTTGAAAAAATGTGACAAAATATGAAGAAGTGCAAGAATACAAGCATATTGTTACACTATGGAAAAGTTCACGTGTAAACTAATGTCATAGTGATTTTTTGACTTCTACAAGGTATATCTACTTTTCGATTACCTTTTTTGTCTTAATTTTAAGGACCGTGCTTCTTGTACATGGGCATGCCCGTGTACACGGTCCCACCCGCCCCCTCACATCGGGGGCGGGACCCAGACGTGGGCCCTGATGTGGGACCTCGCCCCACACATGGGGCGAGGTGGGCCCGTGTACACGGGCACAAAGGGCTTTATCCTAATTTTAAGGTTCTTGGCAGTTGACATTGCTATGAAGTTCCATTATTTCTTGGTGGCTTGGATCAACTGAGAGAGCAGCTCGACAGTCTCGCAGGGCACTCATAACATCACCAATGTACTCGTGAAATGCAGCACGTAGGTGAAGAAGGTGAAGATCTGCTTTAAATGAAATAGTTCTTGATATTTCTGCAATTGCATCCTTCGCCTTACTGTTGTCCATCAACACTGCTCCCGACTCCCCGGCGCAAGCTGACAATATCCAACGAGAAGAAAAAGGGCAAAAAGTTAATGCAAATCTGCAAACCAACTATTTTTTATCCCCCAATCCCCCCTTCTCTTGAACCGCAGAGTCTACATTAATGTATAGTTATTCTGTCAACCATGGATAAATGTTCGTGGTAGCCCTGAGACAAAGATTTTTTTAGTACATTGGCTATTGCCTATTGGGCATTCATATGTGTACGAGGTCGTCCTAGTATTTATTCAGGTTTCATGCACAAATCAGGTTGAGCAAAAATTATATTATTGTCTCTGTTATAGTGAGAATATGCGGCAGACGACTAAAAATCTAAGAGTGCTTTCCATTCTCTTGCTCTTGAAAGTATGGATTAAGATTTAACCACAGCCCACATGTAATCACAGTACTCTCAGAAGACAAAGAGCAATTAAATTGATATTATGCTTATCTACACCAAAATTTATGTTAGTGGTCAATATTAAGGAGTGTGAACATGGTGGCAAAGGGAACTAAGAAGAAATCTGACCTGCTGCTCGATATCTGTAAGGATAAACCCGTAAAGGATCTAGATGAGTGACCATCTCTAGATCTGCCTTCATGAGTTCGCGTTCACAGTACTCAGACCTCTTCTCATAACAGATGCACAATATGGTGCTTTCTCAATCAGTTTTGCCATCTCGGCATATGCAGCATTTTTATCGTTTCTCAGGAAATGAACACAAGCAAGGCCCTGATGGGCTCGAGTATGACCAATTTTAAGGGCATTGATGTAGCAATAAGCTGCAGCATCTAGTTTACCACAATCAACATAGACACTTCCAAGATTGTTTAGGGCCTAGCCATATATAGCAAAATGATTACTAAAGATCCAAACACTGCTTTCTGCATTCCTATTACTGGTTGACAAAAATGTAGCTAGAGAAGACATAAATATTGAAGTGAATGTAGATTGAACACAATATCAATCATTAAGAATGCCAATCCCACTCTGGCAGGCATAACTGAACTCATATTTCTTGGAAGATATCTAGTTTGACAATTAACTAATTCGTTTCTCTTGAAAAAAGGAACCAATATCATCTTCTGCCAGCTACAAGCATAATTAAAGTTTGGTGCAGTAGGAAAAATCAAAACTCTTGGCAGCAAATCCAAATAAGGTAAAACTTCAGACCACTAATGGTACATAACCAACTTATGATAATTGTGTCTTTTAACTAACTCTATTGATTCTTTATCGTGCTAATCACTATTCCAACGCTAACTCAATCAAGACTTTGAGTTGAACTTTAATTCAGAGGAGGTAAATGGAGTTCCTAGATGCATCCACCAATTATAACTCTTATCCGAAAAGCTCTCAAATGTATTGCAGAAGTTCCTATCTGCTTGTCCTAGTTATGAATCTCTACAACAGAACCATTTGGGCAACGTTAGAACTACGAAGAATAGTATATCGCTACGCTGTATTGAGTGAGACCAATTCAGCACAGAATACACTAATAGCATCTTGAATTTAATATTATGTATGGCATCTTAAAGTTCGTCATCTTGTCTTATAATTATAAAGCACAAGAAATTCATACCTGATCTTTATGAAGCCTATCTGATGTGCACTTCAAGGCTTCTTTAAGAAGTGATATGACAGTGGAAGAACAAGAAGGATCTTGAGCAGGGTCAGCTAATGCATAGGCTTTTAGGAGAAAAGCCTCAAAGGATCTCTGGAGAGTAATAGATTCCTGGGCCTTCTGTAACCCTTCTTCAGAGTGACCATTATCATATAAGATCCATCCCTCGTAAACTAAGTGTTCATGTTCACTTGATGCATGCTAGCAAGCCAGGTGGAAACTTCGCATAGCAGCTATAGAACAATTTAATCTGTTTAAAAATTAATGACATACAATTCAGTTACTTGTTATTTAGTTTTATATCAAAAATTTTCATATATATACACACACACACAGTAGTAAACTTTCAAAACCCTTTTGCTGAAGATTTAGAGATGGCGAAATTCCCCATCCCGAAACCTTTTCATTTTAATTTAACTTTATATTTTCCAATTTAAATCATATTTAAAAAATAAAAATAATTATAAAAATCAAATAAATAATTGAACGGGACGTAAATGGACATATTTTAATCCTTGTCTCGCGAAAGTCCCCATTCAGGGTGGTCACGGGATGGCTGCCCCATCCTAGACCCATGCTGTTGCCCTCTTTATGGAGATTACATTCCCAGTGAAGGCAATTTACCTTCTTAACATGGAAAATCAAATGCCAAATTTATCCACTTATGGTAGGCATAAAAATATGAAGTACATTATAATTTATTTTCTAGTGATTATTATTATTTCTTAGGAAATTTTCCAATCAGGAATATTGGTAACTTCCATTAATTTTACTATTTATAGGATTAGTCTTATTGAAAAATTTAGAGTTGATTTTTGTGATATTCAGATTAAGTGAAGTTCCTCTCAAATTCTCAAGTTCATGTCTCTATTTTCTCTTTTTCTTTTCTTATCTTTTATGTTTGTTTTAGTGTACTACCTCACCTTCATATGGATATTCCGCTGAAAATTTTATTATGCACCATGGTTCTGTTTATCCAATCTGCACTCTTGCGCGTATGTTGTCCAAGGTGTATTGATTTGCCCCTCCTAAAACCATCTTAATATAAAGTACTGCAAATTTAAAATTGATCTTTATTCCCCCCCGCCCCCCCCCGCCCCCCAT